AATACATTTGCTTGTTGCTAAGTCTATCTTTTCATTAAATATAAAAATATTTATTTTTATGGTAAATGCCATTCATTCTTCGACAACGAATTTTAAGTTGTGTCTAAAGATCGAATTGAGAGTAGACTTCCCCCCTATATGAGTATTTTTATATGAACTATTGGCTAACTAGGTACAAGGAGGGGACATAGAACGTCAATCGAATTTTAGTAAGGTGCAAAATTTGAAAAGTAAAGACAAGATGGTCGCTTTATGAAAGTGACGTGATAAGGATTGTGTAAATCAGGGCCTGTTTGAACCCCATTTTTCGTATAGAATGCATTTAGAAAAGAAAAAAATATATTTTGAAAAAAAAATGGGGATCAATCAAGAGCTCAAGTAGTTAAAAAAATAGTTACAAAATTTTTTTTATAAAATAAAATATTAAAATGAAGTACTTTGGAGTTCGATTCGATTATCAAATGGTATAAAGCAAGCAACTTGACTGTCGCATCATGTCCATATTTTGTCTATTTTTCATTCAATTTTTTAAAAAGTCAACTAAAGTGCGTGTCTAAATTTTTAATGACTTAGATTATTTATCTACTTTCTTTTATTGGATGAGATAATAAGGGTTCATTTGGCACGATTTTTTTAGAAATCGGGGAGAACTTTTAATTTAAGCCGAGCTAATATGTTAAAATTTAATTTTCAAACACGGATTCAAAAGCTCTATATTTTGCTTCTCTTCTTCTACTACTTAAAAGTAGAAGCAGAAGTTATCTTAACGGGTCGTAAGTACTTGTTTCAAATATTTAAAAAGTTGCTAGAAAATTGAACTCAAAATCAATACGTATTTTATGTGACTCATAACTTTTATCAATATTTTAATCGTGCAATTTAAAAAGCCTAAAGTATTTGACTATTTGGCATGTAAAATCTATCTCTATGTCTATGCCCACTTCGATCTCTGTTGTCAAGCAACTTGGTTACAGTTGCCATTGAAAAATTAAAGCCAAATTGTTAGCTGCTTTTAATGAAACTGGTCAGCCGACTTCGCTAGAAAGAGACTGGATGTATATATTTCTATGTACAAGTGACACCTTAGGAAAAAAAAGGGTTGATGATAATATTTTAGATCGTAAATTTTTTGCGGGACTCAAATTTATACTGAAATAATTAATACTATATACAAGATTTTAATTAATTAATTATTTATTAATTATGCATGTTATTATTTAATCCAATATTTATTCTTGATTGGCATCGAGTTTGGACTTCCATCAGCGCGACTCGTAGTTTCTAAACTATGAAGAAGATAATATTGTTATTAAATAAAATGTTAACTTATCATAAATAGAGTATAAGTATTTTTTTAAGATATATTATTTTGATTTCATTTGCTTGGAAACTACTTGGCAAGTAGATAAATTTCAAAGAAAATGACATCTTTGTTTCAAGTTATCAAGATATTTCTTACTTGAACACACTCTTTTCAACTCATTTCTAATCTTTTAATCTTTTTGTTTATATTTCATTTATATCTCATCCAATCATAGTATGGTTACATAGCAACGGAGAAGAAGAGGTGAAGCCCCTAGCCCCCGACCCCAAGCATATACTCGTTTTCCTTTTCTTATTTTTTGTTATTTTGATTTCTTTAAATTGTAATAATGTTTGTTTTTTTTTTTTTTT